GGTGAGGATCGAACTTGTGACCTTGTAGTCACTCAAGCTCTGATACCATGTAAAGAACCTTGTGTTACACCACCCCAAAAGCTAGCTCAAAGGGTGGGAGTGCCCAAGGCCTTATAAACTCCACATTAGTTGGCTCATACAACCAACGTGAAACTATATATCTCAACAATTTTCACGTTTGTATGGTTATGATTTCCCATATTTAATGTTTTCACTTTAAATATGGGAAATCATGATCATACAAAGATGAAAATAAATATAACCGTTGGATCAACATAATCGATCTAAGAATGAGATTGATTAATAGTAATAACACAACTTGTTTGTTACAATATCTTTATTACAATATCGTTCCGCTGCTTATAATTTTGATGTTTTACTTTCGCCCTACACGTGTTGCTTGCTGGCTCGCACTTCTCATTACGAAATCAAAGCATGTATGTATCTTTCAAGATCCTGGGAAAGCATATATCTAGCAACATGTTCGGTGCATTTAAACAACCTGCTGGCCACATGGCCATGAGACTCGTATGCTAGATACATGCTTGATAATTTTTATTTTTTATTTTTTTTAATAATCACAATCTCTTGAGAACCCATCAACTTTAGCAAAATCCTTATTGTCCCATGAGTCATGACTCATCATGATAGGTACATGGTTGATATTTTTTATTTTATTTTAAAAATCATAATCTCATAAATAACAACCCAGAAACTATTGCAAGATCCCTTCTTGAATCACGATTTCCGATACAGTTTTAGGTTGACGATGAAATTCAAACCAAATTGAAAACAATTTACATGAACACTTGCCCAAATTCCGAATTGCAACATTAAGATTCAATTGACCAAAAAGATTGGCAGAAATAATAGAATCGTTAGCAATTTATGATCTATCTGTCTTTCGAAATTCTGAATCCCAAGTAATCAAAAGAAGAAAACAACTAAGAGATATTTAATACATTACGAAAAAAAAAAAATTCAATCAGCATCATTACAAGAAATGGGGTTGTCAAATTAAGAATTAACCAAATTGATCAGAAACCAAAAAGCTTGGTCTTTGAATCAAAATGGTGTAGATCAATACAAACCCATGACAACCTTCAACAAATCAAGTTTATATTACCGAAAAAAAAAATGATAACCCAAGACCTCAACGGACATAAATTATTCAAAATTGGAACAATAAATCAAAGAAAAGAAAAAAAGGAACAAAATTATAAAAAAAAAAGAGCTTTATAAACAGGATTCTCCTCAAATCATAAATAAAACCACTAATTTAATTATGTTCCTCTTCCTGATCAAGATCTACGGAACCAAGTTGAGGCCTAACCCCAGCAGGAGCAGGAGAAGAAGAAGGTGAAGAATGAGCAGAAGCAGCAGCTAAGACCAAGTTTCCTTCACTCCACGCTCTCCTCATAGGATATGAAACGTTATTACTCCTTGGCAATTTGTGAGTGCATGATTTACGTGACTTGCTATGGAGTGCACAGCTACAGTTCCGGTGGTAAGGCCGCCGCTCGACGCAGTGGTCGAAACCGGATATGCTACCTTCATAGATTGGCCGGAAAATCCCATCTGCGGAGGCGCCGGTGGCCATGCCGATCGCCAAGGATTGTTAATTCTTAGCTATAGCTTAATGTGCACCCAACTCTTTTTACAAAGTGTTTTAAGTTGAGGCCTTTAAAAAACTGTGATGGGTATTCTTATAATATTAGGGACCAGCTGTTAAGTATGCAAGCAATGAGGCACAAAAAAAGGGAGAGAGAGAGAACCAAATTTTTTGTCGGTAAACGGCACATGCGGGCATTGAAGCGCTGTGAGAGGCGTGTCTCGTGGGTCAGTTTCTAGACTAGGTAATAACACATGATGGTTTTTTGTTTTGTTTTTTGGGCCTTGTGGTTGGATTCTAGTTTGGAATTTAACGTAACATCTTCCGTGTTGACTCAAAATTTGAAAACCCAAAAAAAGGGTCGTGATGCGATTCTTTTACAGTTATTGTAACTGTTCGCACCAACCTTGCTATTGGTTCCGTTCAATACTAAACATGCAAGGTCTCGCTTGCTTTTTTAAAATGTTACTCTATAAAAATCATTATTTTGGTAATGGGAGCTAGAGCATCCTAGGTCGAGGCATTTTCCCAACCGCTTTTTAAGTATTTTGAAAAAAATTGTGAAACATTTATTAATTGTAGGTCACAGTCAATAAAAATTTAATGGGAATGTTATACTTACTATCATTCATTTTAGTCTTACTGATAAGAGTGTTCATCAATCGATCCAAACCAATTCAAAATATTTAACATTCAAAAAGAGGAAAAAACAGAATCCTTGTCTAAAAAGATGCCTTGAGAAAGGGCACATGTATAGAACCTTTCAACGAGATAGTGTTTTTTCAACTCTCTCAAAATGAAATATATTCCTAACATATATATATATATCGTGGTTCCTTACTTCGACAGGGTACAAATCTCTAAATTTCATATTTTTAGATACTTTTTCAGACCTATTGCCAATATTAATACTAAGTAATAGCCAAAAATTTGTATCTATTTTTCATGATATTATGCACGATTCAAACATGACTGAACCGAAAAATTGATAATCGAAAAATCAAAAATAAAAAAAAATTACAAATTTTAATTGGATTAATCGATTTTCAATTTTCGATTTGATTGATGAAAAACGATAGAATCTTTTACTGTTAGTGCAGCTGTTCGCACCAACCTTGCTATTGGTTCAGTTCAATACTAAACATGCAAGGTCTCGCTTGCTTTCTTAAAATGTTACTATAAAAATCATTGGCAAAAAAATTTATTTATTGTAATTTAATTAAATAATTACGTATTTATTGAAGTTTGGGAAGTATTTACAGATTTATTGTACAATGTGACGTCTTTTTTAGGCGTCTCTCACCAAGGGAAGACGCCCCAATGGGGCGTCTCTCATGAGGTGTTGACACGTGTCATTTCTCTCTTCAAAATAAATAATAATTTAATCATAAAACTTCTGAAGGCCATAACTTTTGACTCGGGTATCCAATTCAGGTAATTCTTTTTTTGATTCCACATAACTTTTCGAGATCTACGTAATGACATCTTATTTGATATATTTTATTTCTCACAAAGATAATTTAAATTTGCAAGAATGGTACTATACGAGCGTTTAAACCTAAAAGTCTCTTAGTTCTTTACGAATCAACACCAAACACACCAAAACCAAGTGTTTGAAAAAAAATAGTGTACAATGTTATTGAACCGAAATTCGTATTGTGTATCGTTTGTTGATTTTTCGTATCTTGAATCATAAGGTATCATAAGTTACATCCTTCTGTTTTATGACTTTTTTCTTTAAAGCCATTTAAATTATAGCTTCTGAATGGTTTTCAAAAATAAAATCCTTCTTACTTAGAGATTTATAATATTTATTTAATTATTTTTTTATTATACAGATTTTTCAAATTGATTTTTTGAGTTTAAGTCACAAATCAAATCTTTATTTTGTTTTCCTTATTAATGATAATTTTTTAGATTTTTTTAAATTTAAATCACAAACCAAAATTTTATTTATTTTTTATATTAAAAATTAAAAAATGTGATTTTTTTTAAATTTAAATCACAAACTAAATCTTTATTTTTTTATATTAAATCACAAATCTAGTACTCAGAGGCTTGTGGATTTAAACGCTTTTATAATACCATTCTTGCAAATTTAAATTATGTTTGTGAGAAATAAAATATATCAAATGAGATGTCATTGCGTAGATCTCGAAAAGTTATGTGGAATCAAAAAAAGAATTACCTAAATTGGATAACCGAGTCAAAAGTTATGGCCTTCAGAAGTTTTATCATTAAATTATTATTTTTTTTTAGAGAGAAATGACACGTGTCAACACCTCATGAGAGACGCCCCAATGGGGCGTCTTCCCTTGGTAAGAGACGCCTAAATGAGGCGTCACATGTGACGCCCAAAAAAAGCGTCACATTGTGTAATAGATCCGTAATTATTTCCAAAATTGCAATAAATGTGTAATTATTTAATTAAATTACAATAAATAAATTTTTTTTTGCCAAAAATCATTATTTATTTTGGTAATGGGAGCTAGCGCATTCTAGGTCGAGGCATTTTCCCAACCGCTTTTTAAGTATTTTGAAAAGAATTGTGAAACATATATTAATTGTAGGTCACATTCAATAATATTTTAAATGTTTATTATTAAATTAATATTGATAAATATAGGCAACTATAAACTCCCCTACACAATGTAAAAGAAACTTGGTTTTAGAATTTTTTTTTATTGTTGTTGTATTTTGTTAACCAAAATCAATTTGATCTCAAAGTCTTGGTCCCAAGAGCGATCTTTGATTTCGTTTTCTAGGGGTTGTAATTTTCGTAGAACTGGGTGATTGACGGATTGGGCAATGCGGAAGGTTCTAATGTTCATTGGTCACACACTCAACTTATAAGATTGAAATTAGCAAACAAGGAAATTATCGAATGATTTTGAGTAGAGGTTCAACTGAGATTTATTTTAATGCGGCAGAAATTAAGTTCATAACTTTAGATTATTCGGTCACTGTTTTGTTTCTTAGCTTAAAAAAAAAAACCTACCAAAAATAAAACTACAAGCTATTTGATTATTATATAAATTTTTTAACTTAAAAGCTATTCATTAAAAATAAAAAGTACACATTTCACAAAAAAAAACTAACACAATTTAAGAAAACTCCCCCTAAAATGCTTTTGACTTTGAATTTTTTCTTATAAAAAAAACTCTTTATTATAAAAGCTTAAATAAAAAGCTATTTGATCTAACTTTTTATAAGGAGAAGAGAAACTTAAAAAAAAAATAATCATAATAATAATAATCTCAAATAGAAACACAAATTAAGTTCATTACTAACTCCGAACACCGTTCTGGACTTTTAAAATGAGAAACAAAAGTAATACTCTTAATGGACTAAAAAAAAAAGTAATACTCTTAAATTAACATAATCAATAGAGATGTAAAACATGAGGTATAAATTCAATTTTAAAAAAAAGGACGTAAAGATAAGGAACATAAAAAAATAGACATAAATGAGGACGTAAAGATAAGGACATATTTCAATTTAACAAATCTATAACATTGAAAATGAGATAATTGCACCCAGGACCATCTGAGGGATATCACAAACAACACCAAAGTTTTCATACAACAAGTGGCATAAGTTAATTCATTTTATTGATTAGTTCATTGATGAGATCCTGCCGGTTCCCCGTGTCTCCACCATCCTTGAATAGGGTTTTTGATCCTTTTAATCCTTCTGCTGGCTTGTCGAGATCAAAGGGCCACAAAAAATACACAACTTCTTTGAAGTGCGGGCCAACATTATCAATTTGATGTACCATGTCTTCTGTGCATACAATACCAAAATTTCCTAATTCCTACATGGCAAACAGAAGAAGAATCACAAATACGATCAATTAAGGGGGGAAGTCAAAGGAAAATCGGGAATCCAACAACACCCTATATTACCTGCTCGATAATGTTATTATCCGTCAAAGGAACTTTTCGCTTATCTATTTTCGCATGTGCCTTCTTGTAAATTAGCTCCTTTATGCTTTTAAGATTTGGATATCTTCAAAAGAAGCACATTTTCACAAAATTAAGAATAATCTTTAGCAAGTGATATAGGATTTCTTTTTTCTTTTTGGAATGCAATAAATGCAGCAAAATAGAGATCCAAGAAATAGCAAAACAAGATTTTTCCAAAAGGCAGTGCTATTCCACCCAGCAAGGAATACTGCAATGAAAGAATTCCACATTGGGTGAAATGCAGTTAATGTTGTTCTGAAAAGCAGAGAAATACACTATTTAGGTGGAATGCAGTTAACATTGTGCGGGAGAAACAGAGAACACACTGGTATCAGTTTGGATCGTATGCATAGTCAGGAGGTTCGGCATTTTCCTTTCATAAATAAGTTGCAGGCACCTTCTATGAAGCCCTTTAACTCCAAATACTAACTCCAAATAAGTTCGGCATCAAGAACTCAAAGTTTTCACACAGAATTTTTGAAGTTGACATTCCGGACTAAAAGTTTCAATTGGAATTTCGAGGATGGGAGAGACGGCTATACTGTTATAATAGATGAGATAATCATCTTTATATGAAATTTCTACAAGGCTACCTGGCCACTAACATCTAACATCATATCAGAATCACCTCATACACATTGCAATTAAATCAAGAGCATTAATCTCTTACCCATAGGTAACATATGGTTCCACTCTCTGCAGCTTGGCCATTATTCCCTCAGTTGGCTTAACAAAGACAGCACTGAATATTCTTCTCAACCCCAAGCTGTACAAGACCTTTCTGGTTTTTGGATGCATGTCATTTTTCCTAAAAGAATGGGACAAAAGATGTTAGAACTTTTTAACAAAACCAAGAATAAAATCATTGAGAGAAGAAACAAAGACAACTACCCCTGTATCCGAATGATTATTAAGGGCTTGGAGTTTGGAATCAATAGTTCTGGTCGATTCCTCTTGACCCTTCGTTTCATTCTAATAAGGTCCACCTCCTACACAGGGAAGCAAGTATGGATAATAACAATAAAAATAGAAGTAACTAATCAAATGCATTTAGTTCAGTGATGACATAGACAAGTGACAATATTGGCAAAATTCACAAACTGAGTATTACAAAATTAAACAATAAACATAAAGGTGAAAAGAGTTACCCTGTTGCGATATTCAAAAATGAAATCCTCAGGCTTTTTTATGAAGTCCTTGTTCTTCCTGGACTGGAGATTTTTCTGCTGCAATTGCTCCTTTTTCCTCAAGGCCCATGCTTCATTGCTTTTCCTCTTCTTCAGTATAACCTCTGGAATATAATTGAGAGGCTTTGAATTCTCTTCTTCCATTTTATTTTATTTTATTTCTTCTCTTCGCTGCATACACAGTGTGGTAGCTAATTTAGGCTCATGAAACCAGAAAGACATGACATAGAGAGAGTCACAAGAGAGAGAAACATGGCATTGTAGATACATGTGTTATTTTCATGCCAAATCAGTAAAACCTATCTAAGCCTACCAGAGAACTTGGTGGAATCAGTGTTTTACATGTAACTAATAATCAGTGGAAAAATGAAATAAAAATCAGGGAACCGAACCTTTTTCTATGAGAAATAACGCCGGAGCTCTTGCCAATGACAGTTCAAAGGAACGACAAAGGGACTGTGCAAGCATAAATGGGAGAGAAAATTAATGAAATTTCAGTGAAACTTTGAAGGAAAGGAAAGCATAAGATGAACGAAACGAAACCCTAATCAGATGGAGAGAAGAGAAATTACCTGAAGGTTAGGGCACGAATTTGGGAGAGTGTCGAGATCGTAGTTCTAAGGAGGTTGTGATTTTTAAGTTTAAATAAGGGTAGGTAAGTAAATTAGATGGAGAGAAGATATGGTATTATGTTTCAAATTTTTTTTTTATTAATACCGATGCTAGTGAGGCAAGTCGGCTCATGGTTATCTCCGTTGCGAATCTTTGAGCAGATTATGAGTGGTGGTTATCGGCTGATTTTTATCTACGTTTCCTATATGGAATAAGCACCCTACGATATTCTCTGATAAATTAATTTTAAAAAATATTAAATTTTGACTTGTTAAAACATTTTTGATATTATATAATATTTTTAATTTATGTAGTATATATTATATTTAATATTCAATAATTTAAAAAAAATAAAACTAAACTTATAATATATATCAATTTTGCAAAGAAACATAAGATATCCCAAATATTTAAATTAAACTCAATAAAATAGTGATCGTTATCCAACGAATCTAATAGTTGGAACTCAAAATGTAACACAACGTAATCTTTGAACCTTTTTTGAGTCTTTGCAACGAGTATTGGAGTGTCGGGAAGTATCAGAGTGTTGGATACGACACGTCAGAGATTTTGAAGGGTTGATGCTTCATAGATTTTTATCCCTTTAATTTTTCAATTTGCAATTTGATTCACGGTATTTATCAACAGGAGTCATTGAGTGAAGTGAAGGGGTCCAGCGGCACTGAGTGCCGCGACCCTCCCCGTGCGTCACTCACACATTCTTTTCTTTTTTTCAATTGAGTGACGCCCCCTCCCCTGGGACACTCATAGAATTGTGGCAAGTGGCACAATTTCGTTAGTCTCGTTACCGTAAAACTTCAGAAAGCCATAACTTTTGACTCGGGTATCCAAATCAGATGATTTTTTTTTTTTTTTACATAATTTTTCGAGATCTACGCAATGACTCCTCATTTGGCATATTTTATCTCTCACTAACATAGTTCGAATTTGTAAAAAAGTGAAACTATTGTTGCAAATTTGAACTATGTTGATGAAAGATAAAATATGTCAAATGAGATGTCATTGCGGAGATCTCGAAAAATTATGTGAAATAAAAAAAAATATCTGATTTGGATACTCGAGTCAGAAGTTATGGTCTTCTGAAGTTCTACAGTAACAAGATTAACAGGATTATGTCATTAGGCACAATCCTATGAGTGCTCCTGGGGAGAGGGGGTGTCCCTCAGTTGAAAAGAAAAAGGAAAAAAAATGAATGTGTAAGTGATGCGGGGGGAGGGTCGTGGCACTCAGTGACGTTGGATCCGCTCGCGTCACTCAATGACCCATATTAATAAATACTGTGAATCAAATACCATATTGATAAATTAAAACCTCAAAAAAAAAAACCCAATGGGTCAAAGAGCCCCTGGTTGTCTCTGTTTCAACTTTTGAGTAGATTATGAGACTAATTTCGAGTTAAAATTTAATCATAGTTAAAGCTCTTTACCTTCTTCAAATACGCATTTAGTTGAAAACAAATCCATTCTCCTCACTTATTTAACCTATGTTGCTAACCTAAACTCCACGTACTAGATTTTGGGAGATGTTACACTTATCATTAAAAAAAAATATAACTCTTATTATGAAATTAATTATCATTGTTTTTTCAAATCTAACGGTCATAATTAATTGAGAACTAATAATTAATTAATAAATGTACCCAATAAATTATAATCGTTAGATTGACGAAAATAAATGATAATTAATTTAGTAATAAGAGTTGTAAAACAGATTTTTTATTAGTATATCATGTTTCTATTTTTAATAAAGAGTACCTACTTAAGATATTTTTTATTTGAAGATGATCAATAAGGTTTCGGTCGTAGCTAATTTTTAATAACGAATTAACTGTATTTTCTCTTTTATATCTTAAAATGAGCTCAGAGCCATTTTTTCGTTATTTTATTTTATTTTATTTTTGATAAACATTGATTCATTTTAAAATAAAAAAGTGTTATTTAATTGTTAATTAATAATTTGTTACTATAAATTATAAATAATTGAGATCTTTTCATATAAATTAAATTAAATTCTTATTTCTCCAAAACCCCAAATCCATGCAAATAAAAGAAAATAGTTTTTTTTAGGGAAATATCCATCTGCGTTGCATGAGTTCATTTTCTATGATCAGGAAGCATGTGCTCCCTTTCCAAATATAAGAGGAAAAAAAGATTGAGACAAAATTTGAAGAAAAAAAAATGGATATACATGAAATGAAATTTTGCCTTTTTTGAAAAAGGACCATGAAACATTAATGTGCTCCTGCAGCACATTAAAAAAATCCATCTTGCAGAAAGATATTCACCTCCTATTACACAGACATCGGAAAGTGTGTTAGGATTTTTTTTTTAAATCGGTAGAAACCACTTCGTATGTTTACTGAGGAAACTATTCTCCTCTCTTATTGCGTGAAAAAAAAGTAAAGTCCATTATAAAAATTAATGTTGTAAAAATCGGATCAACTCGAAATTCGGTGAACGGTCATCTAACGGATCCGGTTATTACATTGGATAGGTCAAATATCAAACCTGGTGTGACCCGCCGGTTTTGGTGAAAATCGATGATCTGACCTGATTTATTTAAAAAAATAAGTTTTTCAAAAAATCATAATTGACATATTTGATTGATCTTTTTGTTTATTGACTTACATAAGTTATGTACTTGTAATACTAATATTATCTCAATTATGCACTATGCAAAGAATTTTGATTTGATTTATAGTTAAGATATCGTTTACTGAACCTTAAATATCAATATCAATATCACAATATTATATGTTTATTTGATTCTTTATTGGTGAATAATATATAATTTATTATTTTTTATATTAAAATATTTAGAATTTATATTATTATTTTTAGTTATTTGAGTATGTTTATAATTTTTTTAATATAAATTATAAATTTATATATAATCACTGTGTCATACAGTTCAACCCGTGACTCACTGATTAAATGAATGAGCCAATAATCCGATATGTTGACTAGATTAATAACCAGACCAATTTTAATAAGGTTGATAAAAACTCTATTAATAGCACTCGCAAACAAGGAAAATGTTTAACATAATGTCTTCGCTCAGCTTTGATCCAAAGACACCCTTTCGACTATCCTATCCTATGTCTTATCTCACGAGCCTTGAAACCCATGTACTTGGTTCGTAATATCTTGGAGATGTTTTATGTACTTAAACCTCATGCACTTTTGATGTTTGTTATTGGACTTGAATATTCTATTTTTAGGTTCTTTAAATTAATTGAAGAGATATTTCTATGGGATTAATAATTTTCATAGTATAAAAAATAATTTTATCTCATGTATATATAAAAGTGTACGAAGTTCATATGAGGAGAAGAAAGAGAAAATATATATATAAACATTATGCACTTTTATATATATGTAGAAGATAAAATTTATCACTTATAACATGAGAAATATTATTTTCAATTTTTAAACCGACTAGAAATATAAACCCTCCGGAAGACTATTTCCAATGTGGTATGTGGCAGCTCCACATTTACTATTTTACGAGGAAAAAAATTCAAAATACTTAACTCATGTCACTTACATATTTTATTTTATTTTTTTAAAAATAAAACTCAACGCATACGAGACCAAAGTGACAAGTGTACGAGGATCGGAACCTAGCAGTCTCTTTTGATGTTCGACATACATGCTGTTATGGACCTGACAAAGGTCTACATTTTAGAAGGTCCAAATAGGACTAACAGTTAAGAGGGAATTAAGAAAATATTTTTTAATTATACTAATTCTACTACGGCAGCAATGAATCAACCATTGGACCCCCAATACTCTTAAGAGGCCCAAAAGTCCACTTCTGTCAGGTAACCCATCTATAAATAAGGGGTTAAACCAATAAGGTACACAGACTCTAAACCCTCTCTCTTAGCTTGTCACTGTGCACACACCCCACGTCTTGACTATGTCGTTATAATATTGTGCACAGTGATCCGCTGGTCTCTAGGGTACCTCTCCTATAGGTACCTGAGGGAGGACAAACAGATCCTATATTAACATATCAATCTCTGATTGGACAGATCGATCTATCAGATCGTAACATTGGTGCCGTCTGTGGGAAATACGATAAATTTCGATTCCCACCCAATTGTGGTGAAGGCGCAAAAGGCGCTGACGTAACCAAATCCTAATAAGATGGGCGCAAAGGACAAAAATGAAGCTCATCAACATCTCAAGACCAACGAGAATTCGCAATATGAGATATGAAAGTCAATCTCAACGTGCATGATCAAAATCGTGACCACCGCTGTCATCGGCATCGTGCCTGAAATTCAGACAAGATCGTGGCTGAGATTGAAGTTAAAAAGAAGGGGGCAAATCAAGCAAAAAGCAAAAGCTAAGTCTCCTTCCTTTTAAATTCTAAATTTACATGGAAGAGGAAAAAAAGAATCCATCTTTTTAATCTTATTTGATTAAAGGATCCACCTTTTAAATATTTTATATTTAGGAAAAGTATCTTTTTTGTGAAATTATATCAATACTTGAGATAGGAATCCATATCTTTAATTATATATCAATACTTGAGAAAAAGATTCGATCTTTTTAATATTGTATTGAGATGATACAACATAGGATACAAAATCTTGCACTCCTGATTGAGTTCAAGATTGGGTGATATTTAAATAATTATTGATTGCACCCCTGATTGCTAAAGTATCAACAAATCCGATAGTATCTCATATTATCAATTGATTATAAAATCAATTTTTTGATCTTAAAATGATTTGATGCATCTGGTCATTTATCAATTCTCCTCCAAATTTTGAAGATAAATCATGGCACCTAAATTTTGAAGATCCCTGCTGTAATACGTCAAGCTTGGTGGTAGACCAAATGATATAGTAAATTATTGCCACCAAGACTATACATGTCAATTATAGCCGTGGGACCCAGGTTTATGTTCTTGAAAGAAATCTTTTATTGATTATTATAATTAATATTATTACTATCATTACACAATGATTCCTTGGATGCATTTGTTGCTGTATGAAAAAGAAGAATATTGTAATAA